TCAGTCTCCTTAGGGGTTTCTCGTACCGGATTTGTATAAGCTTCGATGTGGTTCGGTTAAATAAAATCCGTCTTGAAACGACAACGTTCTGATCTATTGGCTTGAAATTATTATGTCTTAATTTATGCATATATTAAAATTTCATTGAAATGTTTGATTTGATCTCAAGGTGAAAATAGATTCTATTTACCAAACAAACTAAATTAAAATTAAGTTCAGTTTTTCATATTTTTGCCTTTTTAAATTGGGGTTTTAAAACCGAACTAAATTAACAAATTCAATATTTTTACACACCTAATATTGACCACATGTCCAAATTAACACTTAACTTGATATGCTAAATAATTAGATATATTGTGTAAAAAAGTTTGATACAAACAAAAGTGCTTCAAGAGTAAAAAAAAATGACAAAAAAAAAGCTATTCAAAAGCATTGGACATCACGAGAGTAGTCTTGTTGCTCCAAAACAATAGTAGCAAGTGCAAGTCTATAAGCACAAGATCTTAGGTTTCTAACCAAAACATATATCTCCTTCTTCCTCCGTTTCACATCTTTGTCTCTCCATTGCTCATCTCTTAGTCTCCCTAACAACACTGCATCACACAGAGCTTCTGCGGTCGGCTTTTTACTGCAGATCAAAACAAGTTTTAAGCGCATCAGAAACCAAACCGGCTTCTCTGGTGAATTCTAAAATCAAAAGATTTTGTGTCTTTCTTTTCTCTTTACCTCCCGCGGACAAATCCTGTCGTTACAAACCCGATAGGCCATCTATGAGATTCCTTTGCAAGACTGTCTTCTTCAGGGACATTTAATTTCCATGTTCCACAAGGTTGTTCTAAGAAGTAAGAACTTACAGAAGATTGCGGGATTGTAACACTCCTTTCTTCTCCTTCACTGCAGCTGTAACACATAATTCAATATTTATCCGAAATGTGACCACAATTTGTTGTTGTTGAACACAGTGTTCTCAGAGATGTTACCTGGATTTTAATAATGATAAGTCTGTGAGAGATGGTGCGCATACAACAGCGCCTTCCTCGAAAGAACCTTCTTTGAAAGCATTTAGAAGAACTCTGAGGAGGCACAGTTTATTACTACTTTGACGGATCTGAGCTGTTGCTTTTGTTTCATCTTCCTGAACCGTCTTCATTTTTGTAGTGTTTTGAGGGAATAAATGCAAGCTGTCACTTGCGAAAGTTTGGAGAAAAGTACTCAGCGAATCTGATGTTCTTGCCACAATACCATCAAATAGATTACTACCAGCACTCGAAATTTCAGTTCCGTTTGTCTCATCGCTTGTAAGCTTTAAATTGGAACTCTCTCCAACACAACGAGTGACATGGATACTATTCCATGGAGGTGGAATGGGAATTCTAAATGGTCTTATGGCAGGAGGGCGTCGTTGTGCCTTTTCCTCCAAGTCTGCGGCCTCGCTCGTTAAAGATGAATATGCTTTGCAGTCAGGAAAATCTGATGGGAAAAAAGGCAAACCAGCCTGCAAAAAGAAAATGGCAAGTTTCAGACATTTTCAGATCTACGATTCAATATACTTATGTAGAAAGAGAATCCAAAAATTAGGCGGATTAAAGAGGGAGAAAATATACATCACAAGAAACCCAGCGTTTCTCTCTTTGACCTATTGCATGAGCTCCTTTTGAGACAAAGGCATTCCAGAAGACTTTGATCCAACTAAGGGGAAGTATAAGAGACCATCTGAAAGAGAAACATAATGATTAATTGTGGAACATTAAGGACCTTGATTCCAAAGAAGATCACAAAATGATAACAAAAGTGGAGATTACCCGGCAGGCGCATTCCCGAGTTTTTTATGTTTGAGAAGCAGTAAAGGACAAGACCTCGAACTCCTCAGCCTGCTAGATACCTTTGGAACCTCGGCAGCTGAGTCGTCGAGGCAAAAAGAATCCATACGGTTTTGATGTTTTTCCCAACACAATATGTTCTCTTCTTCTGGAGGGGCCAATTCACTATTTGCATCCCACAAGCACTTGAAAACTTCAGCAGAAGTTTCAACCTCAGTTTTGATAATTGTTTCGAGTGACTCAATAGCCTCATCTTTGGTCGTTTCGACGGAGACTGTATCATCATCACATGGGTTATTAGGGATTAACCGCGGATCCATGACAAAACGTGCTAAAATAGCACAAGATGATATGTTCTCTTCGTTGTAAGGATCAGCAACGTTCTTAACTTCATCTTTCGCCATTGAACACTTTCTTAAACCAGAGGGCTCTTCTGAGCTACTACAAAGACACCAAAAAAGTGAGATAAATCTTACTTTGTTCATTTGCGTTTTTCTTATCAAGTCTATACTCGCTCAGATGCCTCACCTTGTAATAGGATGTAGGGTCTTTTGAAGAAGATGAGATGCTTTTGGACCAAAAATCTCAAGTTTTGCAAGTTGACCCTCGAGTGAAATGCAATCAACTGAGACACCTGTCTCATCCATCTGAATGGAATAACTTGAGGCATCAATATCTCCACGAAACAATGTAAAAGCATGATTCAAAACGACTAACGACAAATGTCAACTAGAGATGCCAAAAATAATCTCAAAAGAAAAAAAAACAACCTGTTTTTGACAAGCTAGTTTAAGAGCATCATATCCCTCACTGAAAGAAGAAGCATGGATCCACACCCAAAGTTTTCGAACGTCTACACAATTTTCATTTGAGACTGGACCATCATCAGTTCCTATGCCGTCACCCCCTTCCACGTCATCTCTTCTCTCAAGTAATTGAGAAGGTCTCCACATATAAATTACAGGAGCAATCGGCTGAGAAACCGGTGGTTCGACATTATAAAGCTGAAGAAAACAAAAAAGTTACGAGTACGTCCTGCTTAGGCTGTTGTTTCCCATAAGAACAAAAAAAAAAGTGAAATTCATATATTCTCTATACCATGGCGCTTTCATGACAAAGGCCTGTGAGAATAGAGTCGAAAACTTCCTTGGAATGAGATGACGGAGAAGGCTCTAGTAACATATTAAGTATCGACAAGAGTGAGCCCTGAGAAATTCAAGCCAAAAGACAGTCACGGAAAATTTTAAATTAACCAAGTTAAGAAGAAATCTCAAGAATAAGGTAAATGCCTGCCTTTGGACCCTCCAATTGCACAGCAATGTGATAGCTTGCATCATGCACAAGAACACCTTGCCTAGACTTCTTCAAGATATCTCTAGATCCCCTTCCTCTAAAACCATGACACAAAAACACAACAACCTTAATAATCATTTAAAAGGAGCCAACTTTTTGTACTTATAAGAAGCAATTACATTGCAAAATTTGAAATTTACCTTCCATGTAAGCCAAGAGGAATGTAAAAACCCCAAAGCTTAGTCATAGAAAACCGTTTAGCATGCCAAACATGTGTTCTCAGCCTCTTTGTTCCATCATTAGAGGTACAAAACCCTGATTCAGGGTTCCCTTTAAGTTCCATTCTCCTCTTAACTCGTCTAGACATCTTTGTTTCACGGTCTCTTGATGCTTGACAAATCAATGACTCTGATCTTTGCCTTTTTCTATTACGTCTCTTTGCAGATTGGTTACTAAAATCATTGGTCCTTGTCCTCTGGTTCCTCTTTGACCGAAAGTTCTTGTTCAGACGATCAGACACAATCGAGTGAAGTGATTCGAGCTCTGCTGCTCGAGCCTCCGCAAATTTCTGAACATTGATCTCACGAGGGGCAAGCGAAGACAAACTACCATCTCGTTTCTTATGTTTAGTAGAAGTAGCCATTTTTGTGATAAACCAAAAATCCCGGAGTACTCAGAATCCCAAAAAGTCCAAAACTTTTCAGGATTCTCGGAAGAAGAATACTTACTATGGAAGACTTGATATGAATTCTAATCTCAAAAACGAAATGGGGCTTTTAAAATCTGCAAGGGATTGGTTCAGGCAATTTGACGAACAGTTGGCGCGCAAGAAAAGGAAGCAATAATAAAAGTGCAAAGATTTGCACAGTTTGGTGAGTTTTAGAGAAACAATCGATAACAATTACGCAGAAGACCAGATACATAGAAGGAAACAGCTTTTTGTCGGAAAATTTTGAAGATTTATAAATCTCAAATTTGTAATCGAAAGAAGAAAATTAAGGGTTGGTTCTTCGTTGCATGATTTTAGTACCAACTAACTTGAAGAAGAACAATAGGGCCTAATTTCCAAACAAAAGGCCCAAATATAATGGGCCTTCATTGGTTATTTAACATACTGGGTTTTGCTAATAATATGCCTAATAGCCCAATATTTTGAAGAAATTCACTTTATTGTAGAACATGTAAATCAAATTCTATATAGAATTAATACTTCTTAAACTACATCTTGTTGGTCCTAAAACACACTTTTGTCTGATTTGCTTTAATGTTTATGACCAAAATAGATACCTAATTTTCTTTCATATACACAACAATACTTAACATAAGATCATGTGATTGAAATTGAACAATTCCTTTTGGTTCATCTTTGGTTAAGTTCCCTTTGATTCATGATTTGGTTATATAAAAAGAAAAAATTAATTCATCGTTGATTAATCCAATACATTCTTTATGTCTAATGGTAAGGTCCAAGACCAATGGGGCATTTAGAGAGCCAATCGTCTTGGTCAATGAAAGAAACGCTCACGAATCCAACAACGTCGCTTAGACGCGCCTTCTTGAGCCACGGCACTCTCTGCGTCGTGTTCGCTCCAGCTCCGGTGCAACCAACCTCCATAAACGTTAAATGTTTCCTACATCACCCACAAATACAACACCGTTTAAACCACAATTTTTTAAAAATAAAATGTTAAATAATATTTGAAAGTTTATGGAGGTTGTTAAATAATGTTAAATGTTAAATAACTTTATTCAAAGTGTTTTGATCGTGGAAAATTTTTGCTACTATTTTTTTATTAAAAATGTATGCACCAGAAAATCATTTGTTAGTCTTTCTGTTTGAGAGCTGATGACATACTCTTGGCCTTTGGCAAGCCAAGAATCCCAACCAATAGGAACAACGACGTCGGATAACTCCGAGCCGCTAAAGATGACTCGTGCGTTTGATCCCCACGCTCGTCCCAACAATGTTTTGCCTATTCCCGTTACGGTGCATTCACTGAACACAAACCCTCCGTTATCTAACGGTGACAATCTTTGTTGAGCGGTTATCGTTCCGTACGTCCTTTCCGGTGCGTATATCCCCAAAGTCAAATTCAAAGTACATCCCTTTGAATCATATATATATAACACATTTATAATGGTATTAGTAACTTTTGAAAGGAAAATAATATAATGGATTGTTATAATATTACATACCTCGAAGAGTGATTGAGCATAACCAAATATGAAATCGATACCACCAGAAATGATACATCGTTTGTAATAATGTCTGCCTTTTGCGTCAAATAAAGTATCTTGAAGTCCGTCGAAACTTGAATCCGTCACTAAATATCGATCTCCAAGCATCCTCGCCGCTACCGCCGGTACGATCTCCGGTTTGTCATTTGGTATATTGTACGTGTTCTATTCCATGACGTATAAATATTATATTAGCTGTGTTTGTTTGGTCACAAAAAAAAAAATGGCTGTGTTTAGTTATCAGAGTTCTATATAGGAATGAATAATCAGTTATTAACAATCAAAACTAATACTATACGGCTATTTTATTATTAATATTTTGTATAATTCTGGTACTAACATTTTCGTGTAACTATAAATTTTTAAGTTGTTGAAAGTTTGAAACTCGAATTCAAACCAACAAAATCTGTTTGTTGTGTAACTGTAAGCAGTGTCAGTGTGTACCTTAAAAGTTACACCGGAAATGACGATATCATCAGCAAAAGCAGTGAACGTTGCGCTCGTATCGGTCGCTTTATGATCATCGTATTCTATTATTGTATTATCAATTCCTTCTCCTTGTAGATATATGAATCATTTTTCTTGCGGTATTGTCACTTTTTCTCTACGTTTCCATTGTTGATCATTAGTATATTGTACACATTACTAATCAACTATCATTAGTATAAAGGAAGAACTCAAAAGAGAGACTGTAATAGTACCGGTAAATTCCATTTTGTATGAAAATACGAATCCAATTTTTGTTAAGATTAGGGATTGAATCAATTGCACTTTGGACCGTAGTGATATCTCCGACACCGTTAGAATCAACAGTTATGGTGTAAGCTAATTCTACTGCTGCGGCTGATCCGAACATCAACAACGTCACGACCATACACACAATGTTGTAACTGTAAGATTTTCCCATCTTTATTTTTTGTATGATCAGCTTATGTAATAATCTGTTTTTATTACAGATTTAAAAAGCATCATGGTTAGGAATTAGATGTGTGTTTGTAATATGTATTACATTTGTTAATAGAGCGGGATTGTTTGCATTTATTATCACATTGCATGCATTCGTCTTCTACAATTCTAGATTTTTCATACCAAAGAAAGTTTAAACAGCAGTATTTTTATCAATATATGCAAATACAAAAACTGTTGAGAATGACTAAAAGGATACCTTTAATATTACAAGAAAATGAAATTCCGATAGTTTACCTTTCTGAATAAAATTGCATGCACGATGTATATTCACTCTTTCCATATATACTTCTACCAATTAATATATAAAAATATTTAGAAATGAAAATAAGACAATGTGGAAAGAAATATATATACATTTTATATGAGTATAAAAGGTAGTATATCTAGAATAAAATTGTAATAAAAAATGGAAAGAGTGAATATACATCATGCATGCAATTTTACAATATAGATCTTATTGGGGCTTTTTGAATTCAGTTTTCATATTTTATAATTATAATAACTTAGTAACAAGAAAATCCTTAAACTAAACTTTTTCCATGGAAAATGTACGTATTTTATAAGCCTTTTTATCATTTTATATGATGAAAACAAAAAGTTACACATCATAGACTAGTATTGTAGAACGCACTTAATTAAACGGACTAGATGTCCGTATTAACACCTCTAAAACTTGATGGGGAGCCTATTAAGCCAATAATCTTGGTCAATAGAGTTAACATTGGTGAGGCTAAGAACTTCATTTTCACTATCTTTCTTGAGCCATGGCACTCTCTGTGACGTATCTGATCCAGCTCCGGTGCAACCATACTCCACAAACGTTGTATCGCCCCTGATACGACACCGTATGATACACGTAATTAAATTTCGATATTATATGAAAATGTAGAATGGTTATTAAAAAAAAGTTAAAGAAGTTTATATACTCTTTGCCTTTAGCTCTCCAAGCATCCCAACCAATTGGCAAAATAGAGTCGCAAAAGTTTGAACGGTAAAAGATAACACGTGCGTAAGGTTCCCATGCTCGTCCAAGTAACGCCTTGCCGTTTCCAGTAACGGTGCAATCCTTAAACACGAACCCACCGTTATCTGTAGGTGACTGTCTTCCTTGCGCCGTTATCGTTCCGTATGCTCTATCCGGTGCGTAGATTCCTACCGTTACATTCACCGTGCATTTCTTTTTGTTTACATATTCACCATTATTTACTTTGTTAAACACATGTATACATCTTAATACTAAGATTCTATGATATACAAATAAAACGACGATGATAAACATTAGAGTCAAAGTGGTAAACATTAGAAGAATTAGTGGCAGTGCCGTGCCCAGTCTTTCGGAAGCCCAAGACGAATTTGAAAAAAAAATTATAATTTAATTTTAAATAATTGTTAGAGTGCCAATAACAAAATAATGAAGTTTACTAAGAAAAAATAAATTCTTATTTTAGCATGGAAATAGTTTTGAACTTGGGATGAGAATCTAAAAAAAAACTCTCTTACTTAATAATTACCACTATACTATAATAAATTTTTAGAAAAATGAGGCCCTAAAATTATATAATATTATTCAGGGTCCTAGGCGAATGGCTTTTTAAATACATGGTAGGCACGGCCTTGATTAGTGGGATATAAATAAATGAAATCTAGATACTGAAATGAAGATGATAGAGAAATGATTTTGTTTCCATTCCTTTTTTGAAAAAAGAAAAATAGTAGATGAACAATATACAATTAATCACGTGAACAAATTTTTCTAGCCTGCAGTGTAAATAGTTATATTTCATAAGGTTGTTCTTTAGGTATACTACTTTGTGAAAAAAAAAAAAATTATAGTATATAGTGTACCTACCTCGAAAATGGTTTGGGCATAGCCAAAAATGAAATCGATGGCACCGGAGATAACACATCTTCTATAGTAATGTCTGCCTATACAGTCGTACAATGTATCTTGCACACCATCGAAACTAGAATCGATCACTAAGTATTTGTCCCCAAGGAACCTCGCAGCTACCGCTGGTTTGATTGGTGTCGCTACAGAAGTTGAATCTAATCCGATATTATACGTATTCTACACACGAAATTTTATTCCGCTAATCAAACTTCTGATAAATAAGAACATTCATGAATTCACAAACAATCATAAGGTAATTAGAAAAATATTAGAAGACATACTTTGATAGTGATTCCGGAAATGATGATATCGTCAGAAAAAGCCGTGAAAGTGGGGCTAGTATCGGTTGATTGATGATCGTCGTAAGCGATTATCGTCTTCTCAATTCCTTCTCCTTGCATATATATGAATCCCTTATCTTTTGGTATTGTTACTTTCTCTCTATAATTAATATACATGTGTATTAATTAAAATCAAGAAAATGTAACAAGATAAATCAAAAACAGTAAAAATATACGTTACATGTAAGTGCCGCTTTTTATGAGAATACGGATCCAATCTTGGTTAAGATCAGGGATTGAATCAATTGCACTTTGGACCGTTTCGCAATCTCCGGCGCCGTTTAGATCGACGGTTATGGTGTTAGCTAATTGGTTTAGATCGACGGTTACGTTGTTAGCTAATTGGCCGGAGTAATCCTCCGCGGCGGATTCGTACACTAATAAGATCACCATTAGACACACGATGTAGTAATAGTAACAGAAACTGTAAAATGTCGCTTTCTTCATTTTTATTTTTATTGAATATAACTATGTATCAGAAAGATTCTATGAAAAAATATACAATGATAAGCTAATAGGTGTTAATATAATAAGTTGGAAGTGTTCATTGTTATCTAGTTTGATTCATAATCAGAGAGAGAGAGAGGAAGATTCAATGAAATATTTTGATTTTCTTACCTTTTTTATAGTTATTGTAATTTGACTGTGTTATTGGCAATGGTTTAACGAATAATCGTGCTACATTGGAAATATATTTCTGTTTAGTAATGCTAAATACGTTGTTCTAGTTTTACAGACTATCGTATGAAAAATGTTATAGTTTTACAGCTAATGTTATGCTAAATATATTTCTTTGCTTTTAGTCAGCATCTTCAAATATATCTTGCTATACTAGTCGACTAATCATTTGACTTGGATTTTTTATCCCTCTACAAGCCTTATTCGATTTATCGACAAGAATGTTGGGAACAAATTATCATCCATACACAAAAGCAGTGGCGGAGCCACATAGGGTGAGTTGGGGCCAGCTGCACCCGGTAAAAAAATTGATTAATTAAATCTCTTAACGGTAAAAATTGTTGCCCCCACACCACATAATATATTTGCCTCCATTAATTTATTCCACTCATTCTCTTACTTTATTTAATTTAATTTTTTTTCTATAATATTGAAAATTTCCTATTTAATTTTGATAGTCAAATAGATTTACTTTTTTTGTTTTTTTTTCTCTTAAGAATCAATTATATAATTCATGAATTATACATGTTTACTCGTTTAGTCAGTATATATATGTATATAAACCAACCATACTATTAACATATCTAAAACAAAACCTATACTAACACCTATTTTTCTTTACATGCACTTGTATGCAAAGTTTAACTCTAGATA